GCGCGCGCGCGCGAGGAAGGCCTCGAGGCTGGCGCGCCGCGGTTGCGCTGGGTTAAAAAAAAAAAAAAAAACCTGGGGGCGAGGGGGGGGGGGGGGCGGGGGGGGGGGGGGGGGGGGGGAGAACTCGGCCCGTTTCGCAGCATTTGCGAATCCAGGACAGGCGGAGGCGGGATATGAAACGAATCCACCGAGCGGAGCGAAGTTTTTTGGGGCAGGGGGGATCATTTCCCCTCAAGGCGCAAGAAACCCTTTGGGGGCTGATAGTTTTCAGGCGGACGTGGTTGCGAGAGTGCGGATTGGGGGGGGGGGGTTGGAGGAGAAAGGGAGAAACTACATAATTTCCGTGGGTATAATTTTGTGTATTTTGTTCAAATTCAAGATTTCAAGGTCTCCCTATAAGTGCTGCATGTGGTTGAGAAGATTTCACACAATATTGAAGTAGAATATTCCTATATTCCTATTCTTATTGCTATTTGGCGTTCGGGATAGGGATAGGATAGAATAGAACAGAACAACAGAACAGAACAAAACAGAACAGAATTCTTTATTGGCCAAGTGTGATTGGACACACTTTGTCTTTGGTGCAAATGCTCTCAGTGTACATAAAAGAAAAGATACATTCATCAAGAATCTTAAGGTACAACACTTAATATAATAGAAAACATAACAGAAAATAGAGAATAGAATAGAAAGGATAAAATAGCAACAATAGAGTAGAAAATAGAATAGAGAAACAGAATAGAAATTAGAATAGAATTAAAATAGAATAGTAATAGAACTTTATTGGCCAACTGTGCTTGGACACACAAGGAATTTGTGTGATGAACTCAAACCAAACTTTCTGGATTTGCAAAACACAATCTTACATAACTTGGTGCTGGGTTATAATATTGTTTTGGGGAATTTAAGTGGATCATGAAAAAACAGCTCCGGGGAAAGATCCTTTTTTGACAGTACAGTTGGGAGTTTTCCTCTTTATCCACAAGGCAGGACCAAGTACAGAGAGCTCTCAAAACCACAATGGAGGCCAAAATTTATGGTGTTAGGTGAGAAATTTGTTAAGTGAGTTTTGCCCCATTTTAGGACTTTTTTTCACTTCTTTGTTAAGTGAATCACTTCTTAAATTAGTAACACGGTTAAATGATTCTGGTTTCCCCATTGACTTTGGTTGTCAGGTCACAAAAAGGTATCACATTACCCTGGGACACTGCAATCCTCGTAAATGTGTCAGTTGTCAAGCATCCAAATGTAAATCGCATGACTACGGGGAGGCTGCAAGTCATACCTGTGGAAAATGAAGAACTTGCCCCACTGTATATCAAGGGGGACTGTATGGAGAGGGTTTCCTCTTTTAAATTCTTGGGAGTGCTTATTAGTCAAGACCTCACCTGGAAATACACCATGTTGCTGGTGGTTAGGAAGGCTCAACAGAGACTTCATTTTCTTAAGAGTCCTGTGGAAAAATCAGGTGGGATAAAGGCTGATGACTTCTTTTTATCGGTCCACGATAAAGTGTCTTCACATATTGTATAACAGTATGGTACGCTGGTTCAACAGCCGCGGACAGGAAAGTACTACAGAGGGATAAATTTGGCACAAGAAACCATTTGTTGCTGCCTAACACCACTGTATGACATCGCCAGGTCTCTTCAGCAAAGTAAGGGAGATACTTAAGGATGATTCACATCCTGGTCGGTGTCTTTTCTCACTTTTACCATCAGGCAGAAGACACAGTAGAGCCAGCCAAACAGGTTTAAAAACAGCTTTGATCCATGGGCTGTCACTCCTAAATACAACTACAATCACTCCATGCATACATATGACTGATTTCTTGTAGAAGAACCATTTTCTATATTATTTATGTTGTATTCTATTTATGTTATGGACAGCACCAGCAGGAGAAAAATCAATTTTGTTGTATATACGTACAATGACAATAAAGATTATTATATCATTTTTTCCAGTGCCTTTGAAACTTCGAATAGTCACTAAATGAACTCTTGTAAGTTGAGGAATACCTGTACTTGTGATGCTCCCTCTGGTTTAGGAAAGATATCTATTCTTTTTCTCTCAGCTTCTGAAAACAGGTTGAGCGCCAGATCAGAAGCAGGCAAACTCTGCTGTGCCCGTTTTTAAACCTTGCATGGTGTCATCCCAAAATGGCTGCCAGGATGGGCCTAACTAGATGCATTCCCAACGTGCTATTCAAAGCTCGACCTGGCTGATGGGAACTGCAATCTTACACCACCTTCAAGGGCACTTTAAGAAAGTGCATTGTGTAGACCAGTATTTCTCAACCGTGGCAATTTGATGTGTGGACTTCAGCTCCCAGAGTTCCCCAGCTAGTATGGGAATTGGCAGCTAAAATCTCCACATCTTCAAGTCACACGGTTAGAAAACACTAATGTAGGTTAATGATCCCCAACTTTGATAACTAGTAGACTCTGTAGATTCCAGGTCCCCCCCAAATTCCCAGCAAATGGTTAGCTCTGGAAATGTGTCCTGGACCAGATAAATCTAAATTTCTATGTAAGCACTCAATGTGGGACGTGGTGGCTCGGTGGCTAAGACGCTGAGCTTGTCGATCAGAATGGTCAGCAGTTCGGCGGTGTGTAACAGTGAGCTTCTGTTACTTCTCTCAGCTTCTGCCAACCTAGCAAAAGCATGTAAAAATGCAAGTAGAAAAATAGGGACCACTTTGGTGAGAAGGTAGCAGTGTTCCGTGCGCCTTCAGCGTTTAGTCATGCCAGCCACATGACCACGGAGACGTCTTCGGACAGTGCTGGCTCTTCGGCTTTTAAACGGAGATGAGCACTGCCCCCTAGAGTCAGGAACGAGTAGCATGTATGTGCGAGGGGAATCTTTACATTTACCTTTAAGCACTCAACTTATCTTTGTGGGATAGAAATATGTTTTAAAAATAATAAATCGGGGGCCTAGCCCAACATTCTACATATGTCATGCAGCGGCCAATCTGGAAAATTCACCAACATGAATGGAGGGACCATAA